TTTTTTTTTTTTTTTTTTTTTTTTTTTTTTGCTAAATAAAGTGATCTTTAAAACCTAATTATATGTTTGTGTCCGTCTTCTATTTGTTATGTCTGTGCTGCAGTGGACATTCAAATGATTAATAAAGTGTTAACCAAGTAACCGTTTATTTAATTGTAACCATCAGTGTGCCCAGTTCCCTCTGCAAAAACTTTGGTTGATCGTTAAGCAACTTAAAAATTACAACAGAACCAATAGCTGGAATAATTTACTGTTACTGACAGTTAATCTTTATTTGGCTGATTCTGTTTTTCTTTTTTTTTCTTACCAACTTTTCAATAATTTTTTTTGGCTAAAACTAGAAAAAAAAAAAGGAGAGACGAACAAATAATTGTTTGTCAATCTAAATTGATAAGTTATTTTTTTGAATGACAACAAAGTTGACTGCTAACAACGATCAATGTGATATGTATTTTTATGTAGACCAGTATTTGGTCTTTTGTTGACAGTTCTTCTGCAAATTAATGCAATTTTTTTGCCCATCATCTTCTATTCAGAAGAGAACGAAAAATGAAGAAGGATAAGCAGAAGCTGAAGAATAGCAAAAAAATTCAAGCTCTTTAGTCAACTTTGAACAACATTTTATATTGCTTTATATTAGTTGATTCAATTGCGATTACGATTATATAATTGCAATGAAAGAAAAAGAAAATCTGTTTTGTAAACAAAACTTTTGAATAAAGCTGAAAAGTCAAAGAAAAACTGAAGAAGATTGTTCTGTGTTTAAACAGTTTTTCATATCAAAATATATAATATAGAATACCATCAAAGTACATATAGATACATACATCTGTAAACATATACATATATATAAATGTTTGGTGTTCCCAAAAATCTATCAAAAGATAGACAACTTCTCACTTTTCTCACCCTCTCCCATGTGCCTTCTCCTCGCCCCCCTCCCCCCTTCCTCCCCCCAAAAAAAAACCTCCGTTTTTTTCTTGTTCCCGTCCACTGTTTACACCAATGACAACGGCTCAGAAAAGGTGGGATTAACTGAGTGGCTTGTCAGTACTGATCGCATTGAGGAAGAAAAGTGGAAAAACTAGAAATTTTTTTTGGTGTGTAAACGGTTTAATTAACATGACACATATTTGCTGTTGAAAAGTCATGATAATTTTGAATTAAACTTTTACTTCGACCTGGACAACCCAGAAACCAGTAGTGTCAACCAGAATCAAAAAAAGAAAAGAGTAAAACGAAGAACACTTAACTTTAATGGATACGTTGTTCCTTTCCTTAGATCTTTTTCTTTTTTTTTTTATTTATGCTATTTATATTGTTTAGAAAAGAGTGGGAACAAAAAAAAAGGCAACAAACAAAGTAATTTCAGCATAAATTTACACAAGCAAAAACATACAACAACAACAAAAATGCAGATAAAAGGAAAAGCGTAAAGATAAAAAAAAAAAAA